TGAGCGTGTCATATGTATCATTTTAGTTTCCTATTTTAACCCCAGTATGTCGGCTGGATGTTGCTCAAATCTAACGCGTCTCGTCTCTAGATAAAGGTGGTTAAGGGGTTAGCGATAAAGACTACATTAAGGAAGACGTTCCAACAACCCCAATAAATTACACGACAGGTTTCATTCAAATTCTTAGACGCTGTCAGTTCGCGTTACTTTAACGTGCATATTTGGGAGGTTAAGGTTTGATAAATATCTAAATTTTAAAAACAATCTACGAAGAAATTAATTTGAAATTCGGTGGAGTTTTGGGTATTTTCTATGAAGCAGTCGATTGGAAAAATCCATAGACAGAACATTGAAAGAGTAATCCCATTTATATTTACTACTTTTTCCACTAAAACTTTTATCTTATAGCTTGTTAGGTTGACATTTATTCGTTTGATTTTTTATCCATATATACTCATACGCACACATATATATCTACACATCCATACGTATACACATATACACATACATACACACACCCACATTTCAGCTTTTGGAAAGTAAAGTCTGATGATCCAGAACACTGTTAAAGGGGTTATGGTGAAATAGCTTATTACATGGAATCTTAACGTGGTCTGTTGTTTATTCAAAATATATATATATATATATATATATATATATATATATATTTATATTTGTGTATTTCGGCAGCAATCTTTCTTTCATGCACATTTCATTGAATACGACAATGTGCTTTTATTGAGTTTTTTATACAATTTCTCATGCGATCTAATAATTTTTTTTTGAGATGATAAATTATATAAAAACTGTCCGAATGTTCTTTTTTTTATATTTAAATGTATAGCCGAAAGCACTCGGATAAAAAAAAAACATTCGGACAGTTTTTATATAATTTATCATCTGAAAAGAAAAAAAAATTAGATCGCGTAAGAAATTGTTTAAAAAACTAAATAAAAGCGCCTTGTATAAGAAGTCTCATAATAAAAATGTATCGGGCTTGGTGCTGTTTAAAAAAAACTACAACACATATCAATTCGGCATTTAATCTCCTTCGAAGTAGTCACTTTCTGAAGCCAACCGTTTTAGCCAGTATCGTTTCCATTGATGGAAGCATTCAAAGAACTGCTTTTTGGGGAATAGCGAGCAGCTGCCTCGTCACATTCTCTTGGATTTCCTCGAGGTCTTGAAATCTTGTTCCTTTCAAGTGGGGTTTGATTATTGAAAAGGAAAAACGTCGCAAGAGGCGAGATCTGGGGGAATATAGTGGTTGTCGGGCCAGGGGAATGTTGTACTCTACAGACTTTTCCTTCCAAGCACTGCTACAAATAACGGAAGCGAGAACGTTTTAAGTTAATGAGCATGCGCGATCAAGTTCAAGGTCAATCTACAGGGTGGTTCGAAAATCTCGTCACGCTGACATAACATAATTTTCTGTTTCAACGCTCTGTGGGGTTTTATTATCAAGAATAAAGTTTTGCATGAATACCCATCAGTTGAAGGACGCCGTTCGGAGAGCCTTTTCAACAATCAACAAAGAACAGCTTCGTAAAATATCACACAGTACGTGGCGCCGTATCATTTTGCGCCACGCAAATGATGGCGTTCATACAGACCTTCTCCATGTGTGACAGCGTTAATAAAAGTGAATAAAACTGAATCCAGTACATATGCTTTGTATTACCTGTATTACTTGTTCTTCAATTCTCATTACTTTTTGGTAGGAGTGACAAGACTTTCGGACCATCCTGTATGCAAAGCGGATTCACTCTGCGTACTTTTGGCGCCGTTACCATAGCAACAGTTCCGATATTTTTTTATCAGACCTCGTCTATATTCAAACATGCGCTGATAGTTCTCGCTTATTGTACGGTTACTAACCACTACCGTCTTCTTTCATAGGATCATGACCCTCCACAGTTTCCTATCTTTTGTAGCTCTAAGCAATGTTTGTCTCCTTATTATCCTTCCAACTCCCTGTTCAGCCACCCATTTACACAAGCTCGGTAGGTAGGTTTCTCGTCGTTTCCCTCTACCACTATTGCTTTCATCATGCCTTGGGAGTATCAAATTCTCCAAGCTCTCTTTCCTCATGTCTCACAAATTTCAACCGTCTCTTTCCGGTTGATGCCACTACGGTGCAAAGGGTTACTGGCAGTGAAAGAGAATGAGAAAACTTTAGTGAGGAGGAAGGACAATAAAAGAACAGGTTTCAGGAAGACAAATTAGGACGATGGACGTTGCATTTAATGTTTTGAAGATTGTAGGTAGCAGGAAAGTAAAATAGGCGAAAAGTGTAAGAGAAGAAACTATTAGAATAGAACTTACGGAACATCTAGCTATTTCAATAGTAAAACGATGAAACCCAATTGCCAATCTAGTAGTATTTATGTAGTCGAAGTAACACACACACACACACACACACACACACACACACACACACACACACACACACATATATATATATATATATATATATATATATATATATATATATATATATATTTGTTCCAACCAATACATTTTGCGTAGTCTGTGAAACATAAGTATACATTCTACATTTGTATTTCTCCCTCAGGTGTCATTCGGAACATAAAGATTGCATTCCTTGTTCCAGTGTCTTTAACGAAACCGCGCTATTCTTGTCCTACCATACACGCAAGCCACCAATCTGCCACTGGGTGGCATGACACTAGCGTTTACCGCTGATAGCCCGCTGTCGGACCGCCGGCATGTTCCTCTCGGCAGTGTTACCACTGGAGGACCGCTACAGGCCCACTGGTGGTCCGCCGGTGGCTGTCATCAGATAACCACTGGCGTTGAAAGAGAATGAGAAAACTTTAGTGAGGGGAAAGGATAATAAAGGAATAGGTTTCAGAAACGCAAAATATGGCGACTGACATTGCATTTAATGTTTTGAATATTGTAGGTGGCAGGGAAGTAAAATAGGTGAGAAATGTAAGAAATGAAACTATTATAATAGAATTTATGGTACATCTAGCTATTTCAACAGTAAAACGATGAAAGCCAGTTGCCAATCTAGCAATATTTATGCAGTCGAGGTAACAAGGAGGAGCGCTCCTGGCAATGAGAATGCGACTTAAGTCGAGATGCCAGGTCAAGACTGATAACATTACAGATCCTTCTTTGAGTTTCGTCAGAAATCTCGAGCTATATAGTAGGAGACCGAGGTCGTATACATGGCAGCGATATTCAATACACGGACGAATGGTAGATTTATATATGGGAAAGAAGTATTCTGAGGAGAAAACGTATCTGACACGACACAGTGAAGAAATTTTCCAAGCAGTAGACATAGCAATTGATTCAATATAATCACTTCACTTGATGCCAACGGAAACCGTGACACCAAAAAAGGGTAATGAGTTACTCTTCTAGAGGTTTGCATCAGCTACAAAAATGGTTCTCTATGATGATTAAAAGATAGCAGTTTCGTTTTGGGGACGTTAATCGTTACAAGCCATTTCTTGCCCCAGTTAACAACTAATTGAAGATCATTTTTGTTATATACCGCACCTATGAACACTAATGGGTATGTCCCAATCCTCATAAATACGTTGGACTTATTACAAGTGGGGGTAACATGCTGTCTATGTAATCCACCACTAGCGGTGGTTTAACTACTTCACACCGCTGGCGAGTATTGTATTTTGTTGATGTTATAAAGAGTGCCATTTCATTTCTAACCTCCGTTTTGGTTATTCTTCCTTCAGTCACCTTTTCTAGGTTACAACAATTTTCGAGAGTAGATGCTAGTTTTAATTTGTCGGACATATTGAATTTACTGTTAAGACAGGAGTAAATAGTTGTGTCATCAGCATTAATACGTAGGTGGGAAATTTGGTCAGATTTTGGGAAAAGTTTTGGACTGAGAACCTTTCAGTCCAACTCACATTCCATCCATCTATCCATCCAGGTCGACCGTAGTCGATATCATCAAGCCAATGAGAACGATTCTTTCCTTAGCTGTATAGTATGTGTTACGCCAGGGCTACATACAGTTTTGAATTTAGAGTTACTTTCTCTGAGGCCGGTTGCCACCCAAATGCTATGGAACCCAGTCTGTCCTGCTATTTACTCATAGCTGGGGGTGAGGGGAAGAAGAGAATCCATACTTTTCCCAAGGGTATTAGCATCTTGACACCATTTGTCGTAAGAATCGCTTTTGAGTTATTCAGCTAGAAAGAGAACAGGTTTTGTATCAGCCCCACTATGTCTTCCTAACTGAGCAATGGTGAGAGGAAAAACATCATTTAGGCCTTCAGTAATGGTACCAACATTTATACTCTGGCTTCCATCTTCAAAGTCCATACAAGAACCTTCAAGAAAATTGTGAATAAGTTTAAAAAAGAGGGAACAGTTGAAAGGAAACCTGGATCAGGAGGTCATAACAGGAAGAGGGATCATTGAAATGATGATCTCTCTTCCAATTTAGAGCTAAAGAGATCAATTAGAAAAGATCCAACTCAATCCATAAGACCTTAAGGCATGTGAAAGAGGAGTTTCAGCTATAACAGTCCAAAGAGCAGTGAAAGAAAATTTGAAAATGAAGTCGTACACGAAACCTGTGACGCAACTTGTTACTCCAGGACAGAAAGTTAAAAAGTTAGAGAGGGCGAAGATCATCTTGAATAAGTTGGAAAATAATCTTGGAATATATATATATATTTGAACTTTATTTCAATCCTTCATGATCCTTCAGTCCTTAGCTGTGATTAATTAATGATGAACATGTCATTTTCTTTTATAATCGATTTTATCCCGATTCTTCTGTTAAGCTTGAATAGTAATTATACGTTCTTTTTGCTCAATTTAGAGTCCAACAGTTTTATAAAAACCTTGGAGAATTCCAGTAAGATATCTTTAATCATTTCTAAGATACACCGGTTAAGAGCTTAATCTAACAATTGGCCAATTTTTCTGTTATACGATTTGGCCAATTTTACAAATTTTTACACTCGGTATTTTAAATAGTCACTTACCAATTCCTTTCATGGCTTTCCGGAGTTTTTCAGCGGCCTTTTCAGCGCTAAAATCTTCACTGGGGAAAACAGTTGCCTGCAAAACAATAAGACAATGGATTTAAAAAATATTTGAGAGGTAAACTTCGCATATTTAATACGATTGGGTTCATTTAACTGAAAAGAGAACGGTTCTAGAATGACTGTGTTGCGCCAATCGTCCAAGTAGTGAATGAGTGTCTTCTTTGAAAATCAATTTCGAAGGTTTGTCTCTTTAGCATTTTTCGAACTTCGGCTACTTGGAAATACAGAACACTGACAACTACGAAGCAGGTTAAATACACAAGCTACAAGGTGAGAGAGAGAGAGAGAGAGAGAGAGAGAGAGAGAGAGAGTGTGTGTGTGTGTGAGAGAAAGAGTGTGAGAGAGAGCAACAGAAAGAGAGGGAGGAATAGAAAAAGAGAAAAGACGAGAAAGAGAAAGAAAAAGAGTGAGAGAGAAAAAGAAAGAAAGAAAGAAAAGATAGTTTGAAAAAGGTTCTTTCTAAGGCAATAGAATTTTCCTATCGTTCCACCCCCATATGCTTAGCGAAAGATAGTAAATGTCAAATGTTTAACGCTGACAAGTATAAGCAGTACGAGCAAGCTGGACAAATAAAATAGTTGTGGGGGAGTAATTTGCCGAAGTGATTACGGCGAGACATGAGAAAGAAAAGAAAGCGTGAAAAATGGACGAAGATAAAAGAATGTAAAAAAAAAAAAAAAAAAAAGAAGAGATAGAAGAAAAGAAAACATTTGAAAAAAAAAAAGAACAGTTAGATATTCGCATTCAATAAGCTGAGTCTGGCACAAGGCCACATGCAAATAGCGCCTAGTAAGGATCGAACTCACAACTGTAGAAACAATCTGCAAGACTACAATTCCAAGATAACGATACAAACTTCCGCCTTTTATTTTCCAAAGAAAAAATAGTATATTTTCATGCATGCAATTGATTTTACGATTTACGTAGTGGGGTGAAGGATATTGGCTCGAAATGAAAAATCGGGGAGCCGAGTTCGAATTCCAGTCGAGTTCGCTATATCCCCTTGCGCGCAAATACCCTTGGGAAAAGTATGAATCCATCTAGTATGACAAATTGGGCCCTATGTTAACGAGTCTATCGCAGAAAGAATCAGCAATATACTGCAAGAAAATCTTCTGCCTACAGAAGGACGCTAAGGATATCATGGACCGAGTGTGTGAGCAACGAGGAAATTTTGGAGAGTATGCAAACAAGGAGGAAGCTTATACTTAACATCAGGAAGAGGCAGTTGAAATTTCTGGGACACGTAATGAGAAAGAGTGTGAGAGAAATTCTGATACTCACGGGGTGGATAGAGGGAAAGAAAGACAAGGGAAAGCAACGCGTGACATACCTAGCGGGCTTAAGCAAGTGGATTTCAGAACATGGCCTTGGGGAGTAGCAATTGGACAAAACTTATTGAGAGCTACAAGGGATAGGGGTAAGTGGAGAGCCATGATCGCTTACGTTCTAAATAGACAAGGCACATAAAAAGAGAAAGTCATTCATGAATTAAGAGCTAGAATCAAAGTGTAGTATCTGTTTTCCTCATTTCTAGTGGTAATGATAATATTAGCCGTTTCATCATGTGGAAACATTCGGTATTCGTTGACCGAACAGCCGGTCGTTAGAAATTAATAATTGTTTTCACGATCGTCCAACCGTGTATGACGTAATGCTATTTGATTGACTGACTGGATTCGTTTTAGGCGTGTGCAAAAGTGCCCTGTGCTCTTTTTTGAAAAATTTATTTGCTTGAAACTTCTGCACACATTTAACCCTTCGAGCCCTGACCACCTCTTTACCGGTGGTAAAAAAAATGACTTAATGCCCAGTTGAACGGTGGGTAAACACTTGCGCCGTGTTTTGCTATTGCCAATCAGAAAAGCCGTAATATTCTGGTGTCATCGAACGTTATACCAACATGTCCGCGCTTTTTCATTGTGTTTTGTGCATGTGTTTTGGATAATAAAAAAAAGATCGTTTTTACCATGAAGCGTGCAGAATCTCAACCTGGACCGTCAGGGAAGCTATCAGGGACTATTTTTTTTTATATCTACCGTGAAACATTACATACCAGTTATTTGCGAATTTTGACTCAGGAGTTCAGACAGAAGGGTTAAAACTGTTCAATAACGCAGGGCTTAAAGGGTTAATAAAAACTAGTGTTTCAAATGTTGATTTTTGTAGGCAAGCAGACTGTTCCCACTTGCAAGTTAGACGCAAGACAATCTTTTTAACCACATCTACTCTTAGTTGTGCTTTTCGCTAAATGAAACTCCTGTATCAACAGAGGGTTTTACATCGCTACCATAAATCCAACTCCAAACATCTAAGAAAAGAAATGGATATTTTATTTTGGAAATAATATGTTCCTTCTTCAAAGTGGGCATTTTTAACTTTTCACAGGAGAAGCTCGAAATCTAATATGGGACTTAAAATAATTCCGGCTGCTGCATATTTCCACGTTCCACGGCGTGAACATTGAAGATTTGTTTTTAAAAAGCAAAATATTTGTTTCCCATTTCAGAAATTTCCAAAAGAATTTTAAGCATTAAATATTTATGTTGAGGTCAAACGTCAATTAAGTGCCTTATGCTTTCACATTTGAAAACAACATTAAGTCGCGTCTGAATAGTAATCAACATTCAGGACAACAAGGCCTATATTTTGTCCGACATTCCACTTCGGTGAGGTTCATTTTGCGAATTCTTTCTTCTGCGTTAACTCTTTCGGTAACAGTTGTTTCTTCGAACTTCGAGGACTGGCGCTACATAATCACAAACAAATAACTCTAACAGCATAAAACACGTCAGTTGAGGATTTTCAACAACGACAAAGACTAAAACGGACATCACATGCAACTAGAGAAAATAATGACATAATTAAGATGGTGACGTTCCGCACAACTTTACACAAAAAGTTAGGAAGGAAGCCCCCATCAATACTGGAAAGCGTGATGAGTGAACCTGAGAAAATCTACTTTTGTGAAAAACTGTTTTAATAGGAAAAATCATTAATTTCCAAGGACAGTGGCACCGACATTTTGGTCAATAAATTCCAAATGTTTCTACATAAGGAGACGGCTAATATCACCATTAGGGATGCTGAGAACAGATACTACACCTTGAACACAGCCAGATGGCTACGGAATGAAGAAAAGCGTAGCCCGAGTAGCATTTGGCTGCTCGGACAATGAATGCCGAATGTTTCTACATAAGAAAACGGCTACCATTAGAGACGAAAAGAACAGATACTACACTTTGATCATTGCCCCATGACAAAGGAGAGAAGAAAAGCGTACCCCGAGTAGCATTTGGCTGTTCGGTCAATGAATGCCGAATGTTTCCACATAAGGAGACGGCTACTATCACCATTAGAGATGCTGAGAACAGATACTACACTTTGATCACAGCCAGGTGACTCCGGAATGAAGAAAAGCGTAGCCCGCGTAGTATTTGGTTGCTCGGACAATGAATGCCGAATGTTCCTACATAAGGAAACGCCTAATATTGCCATTACCATTAGAGACGAAGAGAACAGATACTACACCCGTAACATTTGGCTGCTCGGTCAATGAATGCCGAATGTTTCCACATTATCTACATAATATTTGCTGAGAACAGATACTCTTTGATCAATGACTCCGGAATGAAGAAAAGCGTAGCCCGCGTAGTATTTGGTTGCTCGGACAATGAATGCCGAATGTTCCTACATAAGGAAACGCCTAATATTGCCATTACCATTAGAGACGAAGAGAACAGATACTACACTTTGATCATTGCCTTATGACAAAGGAGAGAAGAAAAGCGTACCCCAAGTAACATTTGGCTGCTCGGTCAATGAATGCCGAATGTTTCCACATTATCTACATAATAGACGTCTAATATTACCATTAGAGATGCTGAGAACAGATACTACACTTTGATCACAGCCAGATGACTACGGAATGAAGAAAAGCGTAACCCGAGTAGCATTTGGCTGCTCGGACAATGAATGCCAAAAGTTTCATCATAAGGAAACAGCTAATATTACCATTGCCATATCTGTGTCTATAGTTATATGACTACGACTAAGATGTCTGCAGATGTAAATAGTTGAAGTCGTAGTAATAGTTAATCCAGTTTAGTAATAGTTAACCCTGTTTAGTATTAAACTTTAATACTAATCTGCAGGCGTGGTAAAAGGTTATACGTCTGTGTCATATAGTTATTTTCTTGGATTACACTAGTTAAGACCTGATTCGCGAGATGAGCGAAGTTAACCGTTTTGCTACGCTAGTTGTCCTTGTCTCTATTTTTTTTATCGAAATGTCAAGGTTAACGATACCAGTAGTAAACTATATATATATATTTTCCGCTACTCAATGTTGATACAGCGAAAAGCCTGCTGTAAACGGTGTTTTCTCTCACTAGAAGTCAGCAGGTGAACAAAAGAGAACGAGTGGGAAACACAGAAAGAAAAATAGAAGAAAGTAAACACACACACACACGCACACTAAACAATTTTTGCCATTATTGACGTGAAGATTTTGTGAGTCAACAGTAGAGCATTGTGTTGGAAGTTCGGTTTTTGTAAAGAGTCCCTGTATTACTCCGCCAAAAATGAGGCCACCTTCCCTGTTCAAAACACTGATTTCAACGTGCATATTTAAACCGATTCACTAATGTTTTATCCAGCCATTTATATTTCATAAGTTGACTATGAAAATCATGACATTACGGACAGTGTTCTAATTAGACAACTACTTAAAGCTTTCTTTCGCTCTAATTACATATACAGTGGCTCAGCCAAATCTGTCTGCGAGAGGAAGATAAGCGATTATCACAGTTACTGTTCATCTATTTTTAATCTTATTTCTTTTGCTTTTTAATACAACACTCAGCCATTTATTCTTATATTTATTCTACGATCATTATGTAAAAAACATGGATGGAATTAATATTAACGATACACTTATAAGAAGATTTAAAGCCGTCTTAGAAATAACCGTCATAGAAATAAAGCACATAAATATATTATTTTCCCCTATTTACTTTAATACCGCCATTTTTTTTAAAAAAGCGCGGGTTGTATTATTATATAAGTACAGATTTCAGAAATTTTTATTCAGCTTAAAAAATCTATTTGAAACCGTAAGATTACAAATACACTCAGTTAAGAATAACACAATAGATAATAAAACACAAAGTAGGCATGTGTTGACAACAATTGTTTACAAAAGTTATTTGATATGTCGGCCATATTTGTTCTTTGAGAATGAACGTAACTGAACATCTTTTATGTCAAAGACAGGAAATTCAACGAAATTGATTAAAACAATTAATAAAAGGAACGCACAAGATCTGTCATGTTTTGGTAACATTAATGTTAAACAACAAAGTCTTAACTATTGTATGCATTATGTACTTTATTTGAGTTTTTCCGCTTTAAAAATGGAGCAATAATTCCCATGTGTCAGAAATTTAACCCGGCTTTCCCACATGAAAGGGTTAAGGTTCAAGGTGAGAGAATCGATAAAAGCAACAGCGGCTTGAAAGATTAGAGCAGACAATTCTCTCTTTTAGAATAGGGGTGTAACAATAAAAGAAGAAAATGTTTATTTACACACACACACACACACACACACACACACACACACACACAAAGGTAAACGGATATACACAAATACGAGTGAAAGAAAGGGAGAAGAAAATTCCTTTAACTTAAATTTTAAGGAAGAAAAATGTTCATTAAAAAAGGCTTGCTCATATTTCTCTGAGCGTCTAAAAGTTCTTTAAGCGAGTAAATTGTTTTTAAGGGTTAACAGTCACATAGATCTCTTCAGAGCTCTTGTTGAGGAGGAAACTGTCGAAAGATCTGAATTTTGTAGTTGATCGAGTTCGTAGGCACATATTCTCCGTATTTATGGAGATTAGAAGGATCAGAAATATCATCGGGAACTTTTCCCTCCAAAATTCCTATACTCTTTCCTGGCCCTCTCATTCGTCAGAATATATATTCTTATCTCTGATAAGAATCAAAGTTTTCGGAGCTTGTGGGGATCACTTACATGTGCCACACCACCATTTCCTTCAATATCATTGGTTCGTAAAAATATATGATACTTATCATATGACAATTTTGCCATCGCAGGTAATTTGAAATTTTCTCTAAAATCACGGATTGGTCCATTTCCTGACCAATCGTGTATTTTACTATCTTTCTATATTTTTAGCGCCAAGCTTGCTGGAGCCTATCCATCGTTATATAAAGACTCTCGTTGTTTGCCAACATCCAGTAGCAGTTCAATTCTTGGAAAATAAGGCACGGCGCTATATTGACATTTTAATTCTTAATTATCACTCAATCGAGTAATCATACTAATTCCTATTGATATCACTCATGAACATTACATTTTTCTACACTGATAAAACACTGTGGAACTATTCTTTATTTAGCTAAGACTTCAATTGAACTTTTTGTAGTTAAATAACATTTAATATTGTACTCAACATTAATTAGCTAAACTTACCCTTTTTATTACGGAAGAAGGGAAGCAACTTTCTTTATACTATTGTTGATATTTGTATATCATTGTTAATACAATATTTTATTAATGTTCACTGAGCTTGATTATTTTTCTCTCGTGTATGTTGTGCATATTTCATGTGGGGTGTTGTTTTACAAGAACACAGCCTTCCTTCTTTATTATATTCACGGTGACCCTAGCCAACAATACTTACAGCACCACTACAAGCTGCTTTTTGGAAGCAAGGGCCCGACACGTTGTGAGCGTTACCCCCAGACTTTATAGCAACATGGTCAGGGAAAGGATGGTCAGATTCCTTTTTATATTTTCTTAGCTCTTTCATTCGTCAGAAAATATATTCTTATCTCTGATAAGGATCAAGGCTTTAGGAGTCGGATTTGAAAGCAGGAGAAACAAATTAGGGCAAAGATCAGAAAAGAGGCAAGAATGTGAACTTTTAAAATATTGTAGTAATGGTTCTCACTTGTAAAACATTGTAGTAATAGTTTTCTAATACTTGCAGTGAGTTTAGTTGATATTCCACCGTTTGTTGACACATATTTAAATTTCGAACTGTTTTGTTCACAAGATAAAGTTTGTTTATATTTTGATTTTCTTGTTTTTTTTTATAAAATTTCTCTCTCTTCATTCGTTATGAATAGCAATCTGTCTTTATTTTCATAGTTTATTAATATATAGAAATATAATAAAGTTATATCAAACAGAAAAGCATGATGGATTTTAACACCTTAAAAATGTATTACTGGGTATGTCTACTTAGCATCTTTCTCCAACATAAAAAAGAAACATGGTTAATAATCCAGTTCATTTCTATTCTTTAATATTGTACGTAAGTACTCGAACCGATACGAAACATACAAAAGCCATGTACAGAATGATAACACTGTAGAAATAACTCCATACGAACAAAATAAATTTTTACATATTAATATTTTAGTTATTCATTAAATGCTTTTATTATTTTAGCAATATTTTTCTAAGAACAGACAGCATAAAATAATCAACTGCCAAAACCCAGCACGATCACAGCACCCATCTTCAATAGTACCATATTTTCTTATGTACAATATGAGAAATTTTTAATGAAAATTAAACTTTATGTTGTGGTGTCCTCCCTCTAAAGAGTCTATGTTAGACTCTTCTGCCTACTATAAGATTAGTAGGACAGAAAGCTTCGGGGCTGTGAATAGATTGGGCGCTAGTTCATTCGATAGACTCTCACTAGTCGAGTAATACTCTTCTGGTGTACTTACTGTTTAATATACGATATATCTGCAAACCTGGTTTTTGTTATTACTTAACCATTTACTTGGTCACAACATCTTGGCGACGAAGGATTCGAAGAAACGGACTTCACGTTAAATCATAATTCTTTTTTTTTTTGCCAGTGTCTACAACAGTGGTGAAGAAAGGAATTCTAATCAAACTCTAGGACAAAATGGTATCCAGTGTTAATTACAACACTGACAGGGAAAAAAAGAAGCTCTTCAAAACAAGAGGATTTCTACAAGTTCTATTCAGTGGTTGGTGAAACTTGTTATTTTTTCTATTCCAACAAGTCAGTAAAAGAACAGTACAAGTCAAACAGACTTACTGTTTTCGCTGATAGGATAAAGTAAAAATTTACCACCTCTCCCGTTTTTAAATTTTTCAGTAAAAGAATCGTACGCGTCAAATTGACTTATTTAAGAGGGCAAAGAGGAAAAAAATTCCCCCTCTCATTTCTTAGTTTTACGCAGTAAAATGGAAGAATTTAAGTGTAATGCTAGAGTTGTTGAAACACCAACAGGAACAACAACTACTGTTGGAACAGAGATATCAAGAAAGACAAAAACACCAACAGGGACAACATTTGCTGTTGAAGCAGAAATACCAAGAAAGACAAAAGAAATTCCAACGAGAACAAGCAGAATACCAGAAGAAATTTGAGGAATTGCACCTAGAAATTCAGGTTAGACAACAGAAACTGGAAGAAATGCTCCTTCAAACACGGAACGAGCAAAAACACTTTAAAAAAACAAAATGAGGACAGTGATAATGCATTCTCTCAAAACGCTATATGGAGTGCTATTGAAAACTTCACGTTTGTGCCTGAAGAAGAAATTACATTCGCTTCATACTTTAAACGTTACGAGGACTTATACGATACGGATTGTGCAAGTTGGGATGACCATAAAAAGGTTCGCCTACTCCTCAGGAAATTAGGCACAGTATTAAGTTTGTTGACTATATTTTACCTAAGAAAATCAACGACTTGAAATTTAAAGAGGCGGTTCAATCATTAACAGAACTCTTCAGACCAAAAACATCACTGTTCCACAAGCGTTGGAAATCCACGAATTTCACCCGCAAAGACGAAGATTATACTACTTACGCGAGTGTAAGGAATAAACATTGCGATGACTTCAAATTGGCAGAGTTAAGCGCCAATAATTTTAAATGCCTGATTTTCGTCCAAGGTTTGATTTCAGCGAAAGCCGCCGAAATACGTCGTTGGGTACTCAACAAGGTTGAAAACAAGCCCGGCGTTACTTTACAGCAAATTGCCGAAGATTGTCAACGTTTCGTGAGCGTCAGAAGATTCGAAAAACATCGAATAGTGGCGTGGCTCACATTAAAGAAATACGCCAAAGAATAATTTAAAAAAACACGCCAAAAAAAGAATGAAATTACTTTGCCTTCAAGACCATGTTTTGGTTGTGGTCAATTACATTGGTATAGAGATTGTCGTTTTAAACATAAAAAATGTTTTAATTGCGATAAGTTGGGACACAAAAGTTCCCACTGCAGGATTAAGAACAAGACAAAAAAATTTGTTGTAAATATTACCAGGTTTGATGAACCAGAAAGTCATAACATCAGGAAATGTATTGAAATGCAAATATTTAACAAAAATATAAGGCTACAGCTTGATTCAGGTTCAGGCTTACCCATAATTAATTATCAAACATGGAAAAAACTGGGTAAGTCGACTTAATTAAGAACGAACCGAATAGTTAAAAGTGTAACTGGCGACACTATGTTTATGGGCGAACTTATAACGAACGTTTCATTCAAAGGTAAAACTTTAAAACTAAAGGCGTATATCATGAAGAATACGAGTAATTTGTTCGGGACTGATTGGCTAGAACAGTTTCGACTTTGGGATATGTCTATCAACTCATGTCAAAGTCGAAAATGTGACTGACGAAGCAGAACAGTTGAAAGGTGAACTTAAAAACAAAATTCCCGACGTTTTCAGTGGAGGACTAGGAAAATGCACAAATGCCCGCTAAGTCTGAGTTAGATGTAAACCCAGTTTAAAAAAAAAAAAAAACCAAAAAACGTAACGTTCTATTTGTCTCGTTAAATGAAATTGACGAAGAATTGAATCGTCTTGAGGAAATGGGAGTTCTGGCAAAGGTTGAATATAGTGAATAGGCATCTTCCACAGTTTATATTAAAAAAGAGCAAAGAAATTCGTGTATGCGCTGATTTTCTCTACGGGACTCAACAGCGCCCTAAAGGATCTCCATTATCCTCTTCCAAGTCCAGTGGAGATATTCGCTAAGCTCAGTGGAAGAAAATATTTTTCAAAAATCGACTTAAGCGACGCATATCTGCAAATACCCGTGGAAGAGGAATGCTGGAAGCTCCTTTGCATAAACATCCACAAGGGTTTATACAAATTTTTAAAACTTCCGTTCGGGGTTAAGGTCATTCATTCCATTTTTCAACAGGTCATGGGCACGTTGCTAAATGGTCTGGATTTTGCGGGGGCCTATCTCGATGACGTTCTAATGAAAAGCGACAGCATCGAGGGACACAAATCACATGTTTGGCAGGTCTTCAGGAGAATCCAGGATTACGGATTTAAATTAAAAACGGGAAGTTTGAGTTTTTCTTAGAGAGGATGAAGTACTTGGGGCAAATAATTGATAAAGACGGAAGACGTCCTGACCCAGATAGGGCAACGGTAATAAAGAATATGCTTGCACCAGAAAATGTGCCGGCTCTTCCAAGTTTTTTTTTTTTTTTTTTTTTTTTAGGTCTTGCCAATTATTACAACGTTTTTGTATATCAAGAATACACAGTTTAAGAGCTCAAAAGGCCCCAAAGAAAAAGGAAACTCACGGAACCTTTAGAAGTTAACCCGAAAAAGGAAAGATATAGAATATCTTTCATGTCATACCATGTCTAACGGAAAAGGAGTAAAAAAAGCCATCTCCTCACTTGAGAACTTTGAATTGTCAGAAAAGCACAATACGCATTAGATTATTGGAAATTATTATCATTTTAAAAAAAATTGTAAACGTAATTCCTGTATATAGATTTTTCAAAGTGGTTGTTTCTGATTGTGTGTGTGAAAAGGATTGAATAAAAAGTATCGTGTGGTAATTATAAAAAAAAAGACTCCATACTGAGTCAGGCTGAAAAAAGGGTGGGTGTTGTGTTGTCCTCTTTCTAAAGAGTCTATTTTAGACACTTCCGCCTACTATAAGATTAGTAGGACAGAAGGCTTCGGGGCTGTGAATAGATTGGGCGCTAGTTCATTCGATACACTCTTACTAGTCGTGTAATAATCTTCTGGTGTACGTACTGTATGAGACTTCATTTGCTGTACAAAAAAATTTATCCTGCTGCTGAATTTGAATTTCATAGTTGTGCTGTCATATCCTGCTATGGCAACAGAAAAACAACTTTGAGTGAAATTAACATTAAGGATACTACAATTAAGAGGCATTGAAAAAGAATGCCGTGAAAAAGAAGTAATATTAATAATGCAGAGTGCTAAGGCTTAAAGGCAGAAAAAAGGAGGTCGTATTATACACAAGTACACGTATTCAGAAACATTTTTGTTTTTTACTCTGATTATTTTTACTCAACCTTATTTGAAACAGTAATGTTAGAAATACACTAAGCACAATAGACAATAAAACACAAAATAAGCTGGTATTAATAATAATTGTTTACAAATGGTATTTGATATGTAGGAAAAATAACGATTAACCTTAGACTTGATGAGGCTAAGATTGTAGTGATTGGCAAAAACATTAGTTCTAGGGGCGAGACTCTCTTATTGGAACTTACTGCTCACCTATGGGATACGAGTGGAGTGAGGATGAGTCATCCTTGACTACGTGGCATGGCAGGGCCTAGCTGCAAATGTTAAGCCTGGTAAAACCAAGTAATATTGATGGTCAGAACATCTACCATGGAAATAGTGATAGTGTTGACTATATATATATATATATATATATATATATACCTAGTGAGCCAGACAAACCTACCCAGGTTTCACCTAAGCGGATCGTCAGGGATACGATCCGCTTAGGTAGGTTTGTCTGGCTCACTAGGTGTATCTAGGTCTGCTCTACGGTTGTATTGAGCTCTTTTGTTAGTTAGTTTACTCGTATCAGGGTTTTTTCTTTGGGCTTTGAACCTGTATCTGTGCGATTTTTTGCGACAGACTTTCGTCACAGGCAAACAAAATTAAATATTCTTCATATTGAACAACAAAATATTTATTTATCAAAATTCGAACAAAATATTTAAAGGGATGTAGATTTTATAACCGATTTCATAATTTTTTTAATGATACAAAAAGGTTGAAACCAAGGTAGCGGAATCGGCTAATTTCCTAATTTTCTATACTTAAAAGTTCTACATGTTAAACTTTTATCTTTTTATGTGTATTGAGCATTTTTTTAATACTACTGTTCCCTGGTCAAATTCAACTCTGACCATTAACTTATATATATATATATATATATATATATATATATATATATATAATTACATGAATCATTCATACAAAAAGCAGATTAGTGAAGTTAAAAAAATCTGTTTTTGTATGAATGATTCATGTAATATAAATTGAACTGCACCACATATTTGATATATATATATATATATATAGAGAGAGAGAGAGAGAGAGAAGATACATATGTGCGTGCATGTGTTTATCTAGAAAAACATTACTGTATGTATGTATGTATCTCTCTCTCTCTCTATATATATATATATATATATAAATAATCCGAGCTGCTATCCTCCAGAAATTACTCCTTGCTTGCACCACGCAAGCTCTATTCTACTATCACAATGGTAATATATATATATATATATGAAGCATAAAGATTTTATTTTCCTTTCATAAATTCTTTCCTTTATGCCTGCTAACATCATTGAATCTACAACGTGTAATATGACCTATTGCAAACAAAGTGTGACCTATTGCATACAACTCTTCATAGGAAAGGCATAGCTCTGTGAAACGTAAAGCAATACATAAAAGCTGAATAAATAATACACATTTCTATGTAAAATTGAAGAAATCATTAAACGTGTAGTGATTTTTTTATGTAGATATTTACTCAATGGAACTTGGTTTGTCATAAGGCCGAGTGCGGTAAGCGACGAGTGTGCTGCTCTCGTCTTCCGAGTCTGAGAGGACTTGTTTGCCTTGAAAATCAGCAGACGAAATTTGGGCGTTTTTCTTTGTTGGGAAAAGTTGCAATGGCCTGGTTGACGAAACAGACCTGAATTCAGCTTTCGATATTTATTAAAATTAGGTTACTAAACACAGCGCAAGGGCAGATGGCAAATAGTTTTTATAGATATATACCCTCTCTCTCTGATATTTCATTGTACCGGCATTTGTACTGGGTAAATAACAGTCAATCAGTGGGTACCTAGAAGTGGTGTAATAGTTAACAAGCTTGTTTCGCGAGGACCTTTACAACTGATTAGTGAGTTCAATCCTCACTGCGTGCTCTTTAATCTCGGCCTTGTGCAACAATTAAGCTATACTTAGCAAATCACTATATAAACCATGTGCTTATCTTGTGCGGTACGCTTATTTTATTTCAAATAATTTTCCCTGCGGCACGATTATTTTGTTCTAAGTTTATTCAAATTATACATAAAAATCGCAGCAAATTACGCAGTACTTATTCGATCCGCACTGGATGCCCCTTACTAGTGTCACATCTGAGCTACGCCCAGAAAATCATACAGAGCACTTCAGCGTGGTATAAATACACGCACATTCACACGCGCGCACACATGCATACATACACATACACACAAATACACATACACGCACACATACACACATGAATACACACATTGTCTCGTTACAATTACAACTGAACAGTGAGTTCGATCCACAATGGATACCCTATACTTTCGGCTTTGTGCCACATCTACGCTTAGAAAATCACCATAATTCAGTACAATACCGGGTGGCACGGCGAGACTGGCTTGTCCGCCATCAAACTTGCAATAACCACCCACACATGTAAATGAACTGCACCTTGCTCTGTTGTTAATCTCGTCGACCTAGTCTTGTAATTAATAGCAACTAAGACATGGGACGGGATGAAATAGTGGGCATATAAGAAGGCGTTATCGTTGCGTTGCAGTAACAAGTAGCTGCCTCTACAATAAGCTAAGATGAAATTAATAATAATAACAATAACAATGTGCCGGATATGAAATTACAAGTAGTATGCAGTTGTGAAGCTAAGTAGCTTTAGTTTATTTTCTATTTGACCGAAATAAAAGACGTTCACATGTTCTATTTATGTTACACTTGTGAAAATTTTACTGTTTTCCTGTATGAATTCTATGACGAATCTTAATTCTTAAGTTAATGATTGAGCAAGCTCCTGGTGTGTTCTACGACAATAAAATATCCGTAGAAATTCCCCTATCACATTATTAAATATTTAAGCTTAACAACTTTAACAAAATATTGCAATAACAATCATAAAAATGAATGCTGGTCGTTATTTTAAGAAATGGGTAGAAATTCTTTCATTCATTCATTCATTCATTCATTCATTCATTCTCCTTCTTTCTTTCTTTCTTTCTCCTTCTTTCTTTCTTTTATTCTCTTTCTTTCTTTCTTTCTTTCATTTTCTTTCTTTCTTTTCACAGAAACCAAGTAGTGTCTTTTTCCTTCTTTCCACGCGATCAAAACGGAATAGTCCATTATTTATGAGGTATTGGGCAAAGCGAACTAACAAAGGAAGGACGAGCGCAATTATATTAGGGCACTCATCTTTTTAATCATCCTACATTTTTGCTTGCATGTAACATTCAAGATGGCGGAATTGAACAAAACGGAGTTACTATGTCTCAGTATCAGCTTTTGAAGAGAGATATCGCGTTAGAAATGCCATTTATTTATTTGTAATAAAAACAAATAATACTACATAAAAAATACTTTTCCCTTTAATCTCTTCATCCAAACAAATATTTTCTGTTGAATGCGAAAAATTCAGTCCATTGCTTCTTCTCCCGTTGAGTTGTTCCCTCTAATAGCAACTGACTGGCTTACTACGAGGTTTAAGCGGGAAAAATCGATACCTTTATTGATATGTCCGAAGTTTTGCTTCGGTACAAAGACAAATAGGTCAACAATAGAGCTGCACTAATAATCTATGGGTGGAAGATTTGCTTTTTATATGAGCATTCTAAACTGTAGCATGGAGTGTGCGAAAGTTTCCAGCGCATAACATAGTTCTCAACTGTATATTCACTCTAGTTTTCAACAAAGAAGCGCCGCAAACTTTTGCACAGTAGACACGCACATACACACACGTACATACGCACACACATACGCACACACGTACACACACAGACGCACAGGCTCACATACACACATGTATACATACACGTACACACAAACGCACACACCTATGCACACACATACACACACGCACACACATACAAACATATATTTATACACACAAACGCGCACACACACACATATACACACGCACATACAGACGCGCGCACACACACATACACATGCTTACATATACATACACACAAATACACATACACGCACACACACACATACATACATGCATAATGCACTCATACATACACAGACACATACCCACACACATAGAGCGCCAGTCCGCCTGGTTACGAGGATAACCATCACTGCCTCATAACTACGCACCAGCTCTCGATGCCCGCTCATGGGCACAGAAAGCTTTTAAACGCATTTCCAGGTAGATTTATTGATAGATATAAAAAGTGTGGAGATAGAAATCAACACTGCATGGCGACTGACACGTTCACTACCATCTTAAGCTGACAGACCATATTCAATGCTGTTCATATATTTAATATAGACACGAACTATCTCTGATAGTGAAGAGCTACGCCTGTATATATCGAACATTTAAGACTATAAAATAGCGTGCACGAAACTTGCAGTCGTGGCCGGTCATATATAAGAGTCTATTGCATAAAGATGAGAAAATTGCACATCTCTATGTAGTGGAGTATTCTGACAATACAGTAGAGATTGCACAGCACGGTAATACTAGAAATATTTTATTAAGAAACACTTAAATTGTGGTGAACTCTCTTTCTCTCCATATATATATATATATATATATATATATATATATATATATATATATAAAATGGATTAAATCCGACAGATATTTTTATGGCAGCTTTCACCAACTTAAGCAAGAAGACCGTCCAGAAGAGTTGCAGGAGATTCCGAAATATTTTTATAATAATAAATAATATATTTTATATCTTCGGTTTGATGAGACTTACTGGTCGAAATAAATCATGATCTATTGCCGTATTTTCGTGATGTGTTAAGCTTTTCCTTGATGTATATCATATTGCTCACTGACCTCCCTACGGATCTATCTTTTTAATATTTTATAGTAAAAAGAACCACTTGGATTATCCTTTCCATTTACGGATCGTTGGCCTAATTATTTCTGTACACACTATGTCCAAAGAAAAATACAATAAAAAACCTTAACAGAAGTACTCTGTCAGTGTTTTTTAATGAAACATGTCCTAGATAAGGATTCCGGTTCATATACACTACTACTGTTGGATATTGATTGAGGAAGACCTTTGACCTCACTTCCGAGAAATGGTGATAGCGTAAACAGAAAATAGCTAAAATAAATAGGACGTACAGGTGTACAGAAATTTGAGTAAACAGGGCACAAAGGTGTCCTGATTAGAAGGAAATGCATGCTTGAGTGGGCACATGGCCGGAAGAGGCGTGGACACAAGTAGGTGCATAGGTCTCATACCGGAAGAAGGCGTAGTCATGTAAAGCTGCGTGGATGTCCAAATGTTATAAATACGGCCCAACTCTTGGTCTGGGCAGAGAGGCTGGCTAGAGTTTGACTGAAGATTTTCTCTCTGTCAGTTCCTGTGTGAACAGTCCCAACCTCTGCGATTCTCCCTCACTCTACCCAATTGCCAAAACTCGAACAATAAAGCTATTTATATATTTTTTAGATGTCAGTGTTCGTCGTCTTATTTGAGTCCAGCAGTAATATACACTACTATTACGCCTGCGGCCTCATCCACATATATGCATGTATGAAAGAAAAAAAAAGAACTTAGCTGCATCTCTGTCTATATCTCTAGGATGAGGTATTATGATTACTTGCATTATTTACATTATTCGCACTGTTATCATTATCTTCATTGCGATATTCACAACGTTTCGGTCTATATATCTCTAGGATGAGGTATTATGATTACTTGCATTGTTTACATTATTCGGACTGTTATCCTCATCTTCATTGCCATATTCACAATGTTTCGGCCGTTGTACGCTCCGGCCTTCTTCAGGTGATTGGATCTCTGGGATGAGGTATTATGATTACTTGCATTATTTACATACTTCGGACTGTTATCCTCATCATCATTGCCATATTCACAACGTTTCGGCCTCAAAGACATATGGCCCAGTGGATAAAGACGATGGTTAAATCCAGTGAATAGACCCAAAGAGTTGTGAGTTCAATACCAGGCCACAGCAGTGGTGAAACAAAACTTGAAGAACTGAGTTAAAAGGAAATAACTGAAACATCCGGAAGAGGCATGGCACGTGGAACTAGAACAATCTACCCCAGTGAACGAAATAAAGGGTTCACTTCGAAATTCCAATCACCCGAAGAAGGCCGGATCATACAACGGCCGAAACGTTTTGAATATGGCAATGAAGGTGAGGATAACAGTTCGAATACTGTAAATAATGTTAGTTGCGTCTTTCTAAATTGTTTTAAAAACCTCTTCAAATCAACACTAAATTATAAGCAAATTTCTTTTTGATATTTATTAAGTTCAACTTAGTCGGGTATAGCGACAAATGAGAGTGGCAAGATAGTGCCGAAGTCTTTTGAGGGCGAGAGGGCGCTTGTAAGCCTATAAAATCAATATCGGAATTTCAGGCTTTTGCTGTGGTCGAATAGTGAGATTTAGTAGCAGCGGTCTCGTTTGGTAGCTCGTGACAAGTAACACGTGAACGTATATAAATAGAAAAAAAATCAATAACGGTTGATCGTAAAACCGATCGATCGAGCGATCGAAAAGAGAGAGAGAGAGAGAGAGAGAGAGAGAGAGAGAAAGTGAATGTCCATTATAAGTCGATTGTTTGATGTTTTGTAAGACCAACGAATCGTTGTTGCAACTACTAATTTAGGTCGGAGATTTTGAACAGCGTGCGAATCAAACGTAATACAGGCCTTTACCATATGTGATTGCTCGGATTGGGGAATCAGAGAGCCGAGTTCGAATTACAGTCGAGTTCATAACATTCACTTTCGTGCTAATACCTTTAGGAAAGGTATGAAGCTTACTCTTCTCTCCCGCCCAAGTTATTTTCCAGAATGGGTTCTAACTATGAAGTCAAAACTGTAGCACATGCTAAGGAAAAGATCCGTTCGCAGTGACTTTTCGACTGTTTGTGTGTGAAAGGCTCATACTGAGGCGATGTAATGTGAACTGGCATTGACGTGTTCTGTTCAAATACCTTCCGAATCCATTTTATTTTCTCCTAAATCATTTCCCTTCGAAAGATATAGTTCCATCTTTTCTCTTTCCCTAGCTACGGGTTAAATAGTACGGTAGACTAGGGTCTCTATCTTTGGCTGGCAACCAGTCTTAGCGAACATTAACTCTGAGTTCCCAATTTGTTTCGGAAACCATAGCATCAACACCTAGCGTTTGTTAGCTGTAGCTCTACGCTCCATTGGAGGGAGTTTACAGGATTAACATAAGGGCTACTAGTACTAGTTTAAGAATATGCTATTTCCTACAGGTATCTGACATCGCTTTTGCTGACGGTGGACCGTCATAATGTCGTGGAGACCAAAGGAAATTGCATACATAGTGGAAACATATTTCACCAGCCAAAGATACATCGTTGCAGCCAAAAGGAAATTCCAACAGAATTTTGGAAAGCGACAGGCACCATCCCGAAAGGTGGTTCTGCATGCTATTACAGACTTCCGTTAAACAAGCAATGCCAACTGTTTGAAATGAGAGAGCGAGCTCGTGCATGTTCTCTTTGCAGTGGTGACCATCTCAGGGGTGTAATATTTAAATCTAAAATGAATATCAGTTATGTAAAAATATATTTGGTACTCTGTCATTTTCATAATCCAAAACACTTGCATTTAAAATGTGTCGCCTCATTATGGGAACACCCTGTATATGATGGTCTCGCTCGTATTCTTCGACGTGTCAGGGCCCTGTTACAGTTTTTTGGATATATGTACTAGTGAGCCAGTCAAAATGAGCTGACTCATTTTATAGTTCACCAATAGAAGGGTTAACCATTCAGAAAGCTCAAAATATTCAATGCGACGTGTATAAAGGCAGACATTTTGTTTTTTCTCCCAAAATATCTTCACTGCCAACCTGATATCGAAGACTTAAAAGAATTAACAGCCTCTACTTTCTTCGAATCTACACTCCGAATCTACACTGCCAACCTCTGATATTGAAGAGATTACGGACTTCACTGGATTCCATATTCAGAGACTACGGCAAACATGGTCAACAGGCCCAACAGTTCAACTGCTAGACTTGAACAGCCAGACTAAGGCACACATATGTTATGATTCTATCCTAATTGGGTGCTCCATACTTTCGGCCTTGTGCCACATCTAAACTGCATTTGGAAATCACTATTTGGGCACCTCGGCGTGGTTTAATGGTTAGCAAGATTGTTTCGCTAAAACAGTTACGATTGAATAATGAGTTTGATCCCCACTGGCTGCCCCATATTTTCGGCCATGTGCCACATTTAAGCTACGCTTAGAAAATTAATATGGGCTCCTCGAGGTGGGGTAATGGTTAACAATCTTGTCTTGCTAAAACAATTACGACTGAGTAGTGAGTTTGATCCTCACTGGGTGCCCCCTATTTTCGGCCTTGTGCCACATCTAAGCTATGCTTGGAAAATCACTTTGGGCACCTCGGTGTGGTGTAATGGTTAGCAAGCTTGTCTCGCTAAAACAATTACTTACTGAGTAATTACTTACTTCGATCCTCACTGGGTGGCCGATACTTTCAGCCTCGTTCCACATCTAAGCTACGCTTAGAAAATAAAAGTGGCACCTGGGCGTGGCGTAATGGTTAGCAAGCTTGTCTCGCTAAATCAGTTATGACTGAATAGTGAGTTCTATCTTCACAAGGTGCAGCATGCTTTCGGCCTTGTGTCACATCTAAGCTACGCTTAGAAAACAACCTAAAATGTATGATTTTTAAAAAATCTCTAACCAGATATATTTTTTTTAAATAACGTGTGTATATCTTAAGTGTGTCTTTGTATATATGTCTATGCGTTAACAACCTAACCTTTTTCGGAAGAACAAAAGACAGAAAACTAGTGCACATCATATGTCGCGAACAGCCCACCTAAGGTTTTGAATTCAGAGTTGTCCTCCTACTAGACTGGTTGCTAACCAAGGCTGAAGAGCCCAATATATATATATATATATATATATATATTAGTGAATACACTTTATATCCAACGTCAAGTTTCATGCAGTTACCCAATCATAAGATGCTGAATACTCACCGTTAAGCGTTGCGAAATTTGCGTTCTCGTGGAGTTGATTTAAAATTGTCTTAAAACTTATTCCTTATATTATTGTTGTATATGATATATATATATATATATATATATATATATATATATATATATATATATATGAAAAAATATAGTCTTAAGATGTGCTATATTTATGGGATAAAGTGCTCAATGTCAGAGATAGAGCGTGTGTAAATATAAAATGAACATAGAAGTCAACACTTAGAGGCGACAAGGAGGAAGCTTATACTTAACATCAGGAAGAGGGGGCTGAAATTTCTGGGACATGTAATGAGGCGGGTTTGGAGAATCTGATACTCACAGGGTGGATAGAGGGAAAGAGAGACAAGGGAAAGCAACGCGTGACATACCTAGCGGGCTTAAGTAAGTGGGTGACAGAACAGGGTTTGGGAGAAGTAGCAAAAGGACAAAACATATTGAGAACTACAAGGGATAGGAGGAAGTGGAGAGCCATGATCGCCTACGTCCTGAAGGGACACGGCATATAAAAGAAGAAGAAACGTGTATGACCCGAAATGTGTATAAATTAACCCACTCAAAAGAATAAATACTTCTTATTTACTTTGTCACACTTACCAATGGAACTTTCGCCGTGAAAGTTTCAAAATAATATTAGCTTCAACCCCAGAGGTTAAACTCCCTCAGGCAATATCTCTTTTTTGGGAACGGCCTGAGGTCATTACCCGGCGCCTGAAGGGTCCCCAAAAGGGGAAATGCCTAGGGGGCTTGAATAATTTTTCACGTTAAAGCCACTTTAAACTGACCTTGTGTCACACTCGGTAGCGATGTGTGTGTACTGACATATCAACTGATTTATTTGTAGTACAAAAATAAATAAATAATGAAATAAATAAATAAAGACAGAAAAGAAAAGGAAAGAAAAGAAAAGGAAAGGCCGTAAGTAATAAATATTTATCAATATCAGTCTATATCACTGAGATGAGGTATTATGATTACTTGCATTATTTACATTATTCGGACTGTTTAATCATTGCCATATTCACAACGTTTCGACCGTTGTACGCTCCGGCATTCTTCAGGTGATTGGACTTTCGAACCGAACCCTTTATTTCGTCCACTGCGGTACATTGTCCTTAAGGACACATGGACCAGTAGATAAGACGTTGGTTAGATCCAGGGACTAGACCTAGAGTTGTGAGTTCAGTGCCAGGCCACAGCGGTGGTGAACCAAAACTTGGAAAGTTAAGTTAAAGGGAAATAACTGAGACACCCGGAAGAGGCATGGCACGTGGAACTAGAACAATCTACCCCCCGGTAGACGAAATAAAGGGTTCGGTTCGAAATTCAAATCGGAAGGCCAGAGCGTACAACGGCCGAAAAGTTGTGAATTTGACAATGAAGATGAGGATAACATTCCGAATAATGTAAATAATGCAAGTAAATATTTGAAATTACGATGAAGGCCGCTGTTTCGGTCGCAGCCGGTTGTCGCCCCGACCATTAATTAAATGAAATTCATAAATTCATTATTTTGTTTAATTTAGCGTAACAAACAGTTCTCATCGGTCTCTCGCTTTTCTGGCTGAAGGTTGAAGCTTTCTAGATTATTTCTTGCTTGCTTTATTCTAATCAAATGCAGAAAGCTTGGCACAAAGGCGAAGGGGAAGAGGGGAAAGGCTGTTACTCAGTAACTATTCCAGTCTTAGTTAATCACAATCACGGCCTATTCATTCAATACAATATACACAATCACCACAAGAACTTGTCCATCATCTCTCAATTCTACATGTACCATAATACCACATATTCACAAGGGACCTACAAAACACCCCATGTTCAAAAATTTATAATGTCTTTTTTGGCATTTTTTCTTTCTTTTTTTTCCTACAAAAATATATAAAAATTTATGTAATAATGAAAAAAATGATTGAGGGAGGGAATGAACCCAAAAACAAAACTAAAGAATGAAACAAAAACAGACTAAAACAAAACAGATGTTAATAGGATCCGTCCACCCCTCAAAATAATGAGGTTGGCCACTGTATTCTGCCATTCGACAGAATCAAGCAGCACACTCACTAATGGAGTTGGGAAGGAAAAATTAAACAGTGGAGTGGTGAAAAAATAGTCTGACCCAGCCGAGATAAAAAAAAAAAAACGGGGCAAAAACAAACTGGGGAGGTTGGGACATGGCTCATAACCAAAGAGAATGCCAGGAACAGTTAATTTCTCTTGGAACAGGAAAACTCATTAAGAAATGCTAATCATGACCATAATATGTATAATTAGTATTAGTGTAACTTTTTTTCTTTCTTTGTCTCTCTCTAGCTTTTATCACATAAAAAACATATTAAAAAAAAGAAAGAAAGAAAGAAAGAAAATGGACGCTGAATTCGAACGCCCGACCTGGAGGTAAACAGACATGTGGTATATCTACTACGCTAGCGATAAACTGAAAGGAGGCTCAGAGAATTTGACACTCAAAAGACATATCGAAGGCAAAAGGGACAGGGAAAGGCAACGGGTCACCTACCGAACGATCTTGTGTAAATGGATGGC